CTTCCATAGGTCCTGAGTTCAATTCCCAGCAACCACATGATGGCTCACAACCATCTGTAATGAGATCTGGTTCCCTCTTATGGCCTGCAGGCAGACATGTAGGCAGAACACTGTATACATAATAAATGAATAAATAAATAGATAAATAAATGTAGAAGCTTGCTTCCATTTAAAAAAGAGAGAGAGAGAGTTCAATCTGCCTGGCGGTGGTGGCACACACCTTTAATCCTAGCACCCGAGAGGCAGAGGCAGGCAGAGCTCTGTGAGTTTGAGACCAGCCTGGTCTACAAGAGCTAGTTCCAGGACAGCCTCCAAAGCCACAGAGAAACCCTGTCTCCACCCCTCCCCCAAAAGAGACAGAGAGGGAGAGAGAGAGAGAGAGAGAGAGTTGAATTTGAACTAAGAACATCCAGTATCTGGTTCTACAAGTAACTATCTCAGTATGTCTTAAACAAGTCTGTTCAATTGCTCCAGATCTGGGGTATAAAATGAAGGCATTTCAATCACTGATTTTATTTCCCCCCTGCATTGTCTTGGGTCTTGTGCATTCTAAGCAAACCACCACTGAGTAGATCAGCTCTAAACATTGGTTAATAACTAAGGGGAGCAGGTTTCAGGTTTCTCTTTTTTTCTTTTAAGTTATTTATTATTTTGTTTATTTATTTATTATTTATTTAGTGAGTTATTTTTTTGGTTTTTCGAGACAGGGTTTCTTTGTATTGTTTTGGGGGCTGTCCTGGAACTCACTCTGTAGACCAGGCTGGCTTGAACTCACAGAGATCCGCATGCCTCTGCCTCCCGAGTGCTGGGGTTAAAGGTGTGCACCACCACCGCCTGGCTTTAGTTAATTATTTATTGAAAATATTTATTTGTACATATTTTATGGTTTGCCTACATGTATGTAAGTGTACTGTGGTGGTGTCTACAAAGGTCAGAAGCGGGTGCTAGAGTCCCTGGGTATTATAGTTAGGACAGTTAAAGACCATGTTGCTGCTGGGAATGGAGCCCTCTCCAAGGACAGGAAATGCTACTGAATCATCTCTCTAGACACCAACTTAAGTGTGCAGCAGAGGATGGTTTTGAACTTCAGACCTTGCCCAGTACTAAGATTATAGGTCTGCACTACTTAGCCCAGTCTATTTGATGCTGATCAAACCTAGGGCTTCCTGCATGCTAAGCAAGCATTCTACCAACTGAGTAACATCCACCACCCTTTGTGATTTTTTTTCTCAAAGGCAGAGGTAAACTGGGCATGATGAAGCCAGGTGGTGGTGGTGGTGGTGGTGGTGGTGGTGGTGGTGCACACCTTTAATCCCAGAACTTGGGAGGTAGAGACAGGCAGATCTCTGAGTTCGAGGCCAGCCTGGTCTACAGAGTGAGTTCAAGGAAAGCCAGAGCTATACAGAGAAACTCTGTCTTGAAAAACCAAACAAACAAACTGGGCATGATGGTACACACCTGAATCCTAGCACCTGGGCAGAGCAGCAGTGGCAGAAGGATCCTGGTTTAAGGCTAGCCTGAACTACAATGGGCAAGCCTGTGCTTCAGAAACACTGAGCAAAGGCCAGCAAAGACTAAATTAGTATAAGTAAAGGTTCTTGGCCTCCAGGATCCCTTGTGATCTAAGTTTTGTTCTGTGCAGCCCTGGCTGTTCTAGAACTTGCTCTGTAAACCAGACTGGCCTCAAACTCAGAGATCCACCTGCCTGCACTCTGGAGTGCTGGGATTAAAGGTGTGCACTAACACTGCCCATCAAAGGGAAGGTTTTTATTATAGATATGAGAGAACCACCAGAGGCATCCAGAAGAGTGCAGAGCAGGGAGAGAAAGTAGTAAAATGATATGGCCAGCAGACTGGACATGGCCATGAGAGAAGCAGAGCAGAGAGAGAGGGAGAATGTGGACACACACACACACACAGAGAAAGAGAGAGAGAGGGAGAGGGAGAATGTGGACACACATACAGAGAGGAGAGGGGAGAATGTGGACACATACACTCACACACACACACAGAGAATGTGGACACACACACAGAGGGAGAATGTGGACACAGAGAGAGAGAGGGAGAATGTGGACACATACACTCACACACACACACAGAATGTGGACACATATACACACACAGAGGGAGAATGTGGACACACACACACAGAATGTGGACACACACACAGAGGGAGAATGTGGACACAGAGAGAGAGAGAGAGAGAGAGAGAGAGAGAGAGAGAGAGAGAGAGAGAGAGAGAGGGAGAATGTGGACACATACACTCACACACATACACACACAGAGAATGTGGACACACACACACACAGAGGGAGAATGTGGACACACACACACTCACATACACACAGGGAGAATGTGGACACACACACTCACATACACACAGGGAGAATGTGGACACACACACTCACATACACACAGGGAGAATGTGGACACACACACACAGGGAGAATGTGGACACACACACACACACACAGAGGGAGAATGTGGACACACACACACACAGAGGGAGAATGTGGACACACACACACACAGAATGGTAGGAAGAAGAGGATGAGCATAGCTGAGACAGCAGGATTACAAGGAGAATGAGAAGCTGGGAGAAGGAAGTCCCTGAGCTGGAGAAGTGTAGGGTAGAGGAGGAGGTCAGACAAGCTGAGAAGAGTCTGTCTGTAGCCAGCATGAACTCTGAAATATGTAACGGGTACTTGTGATACTGACGGAGCCTGGAGGCCAACACAAGCTTGGTATGCTAATCAGGCATCACAAATACCATTTGTCCCTTCTGCCAGGCTCCTTTTGGCAGAGGGACACTGGCTTCACAAGTTCCGGAGGAATGCTGGCTTTGTCTAACTGCCAGAATTTGGGGAAATGGAGTTTCCTTTGGACCTGACACATGGTGAAGGAGAGAATCAGGCCCTGCAAGTTGTCTTACTTCCACATGCATGTGTGTGCATGTATACACACATACACAAGTAGTGACAAAAATATACATACATAGGTGGCTGGGTATATAGTTCAGTTGGTAAGGTCCTTGCTTAGCATTCATGAAACCCTGGGTTTGATCCAAGTGTGCTGTAAAAATCCTGTAATCCCAACATTTGGGAGGTGGAGGTAGGGGGTCAGAAATTCAAGGTTATCCCTAGCTACATAGTTTGAGGCCAGCTTCAACTTGAACTGACTGTGAAACCCTATCACACACAAAGTGAAAACAAAATAAGGACAAGGATAGTAGATTACATGACATCGTGTGCCTAGCACAGTGTTACTATCAATTCATCTGATCACAGTGGCACAATGAATTAAAGTCCTGAGGAAATTGTGAACATGTCACTGGGTCCCTTTTATAGGCCATATTAGATAGCTTAGAGACACATTATGGTATGTGTTGTCTGAATTATCTCTTAGACAATGAGAACTTGGTATGAGGTCTCACATCTGTGATTCCAGCACTTGGGAGATAAAGGCAGAAGGATAACTGGGAGTGTTGAGGCCATCCTATGCTGCCTTGTACATCCCAGTGCTAAACTCTCAAGAAACCGAAAAAGTATGGCATGGTGGTCTACAAAGCGAGTTCCAGGACAGCCAGGGATACACAGAAAAACACTGTCTCAAGAGAGAGAGAGAGAGAGAGAAGGACGGGCGTTGGTGGCACACATCTTTAATCCCAGCACTCGGGAGGCAGAGGCAGATGGATTTCTGTGAGTTCAAAACCAGCCTGGTCTACAGAGGTAGTTCCAGCACAGCCAGGACTGTTTCATAGAGAAACCCTACCTTGAAAAAAAAAAAAAAAGAAAGAAAAGAAAAGAAAAAAAGAAACCCCAACTAAACCAGCAAGTCCTAGACTCTGAGCTCCAGCCATAGCACCACCCACCTGCATTGTCTCCCCCTATTTTTTTTAAAGATTTATTTATTTATTACGAACACAACACCCTGCCCCCATGTATGTCTATACATCAGAAGAGGGCACCAGATCTCATTACAGATTGTTGTGAGCCACCATGTGGTTGCTGGGAATTGAACTCATGACCTCTGGAAGAGCAGTCAGTGCTCTTAACCTCTGAGCCATCTCTCCAGCCCGTCTCCCCCTATTTTTATTTAAAGTTATTCTAATACCTTCAGATCAGTGCTGTTTTGTTTCCAGAGTTCAGTAGAAGTATAATGCAAGAACTAAGGAGGCAGAGAAGATGTTGAAGAAGAATACAATCTACATCACCAGAGCCTAGCTTAAAAACAAAACAAACGTGAAAATATACGTCTTTAATCCTAATACTCAGGAGGCAGAGGCAGGGAAATCTCTTAATGAGTTTGAGGCCAGCCTGATGTACATACCGAGTTCCAGGACAGACCCAAACACAGAGATTCTGTCTCAAATAAAATGCAAATTACTTAGTAATTTGTGTATATGACCTGTTTGTGTGTATGCTCACACACTTGTTCACATATGCGCAGGGTTGTGGAGCCAGAGGTCAATATCAGGCATTTTTTCCAATTACTTTCTATCTTATTTTTGGAGAAATTTTCTGTCATGGAACCAGAACTTACTGATTGGTTAGACTTGATGGCCAATAAACCCCAGGGAATCATCTGCCCACCATGTTAAGACTACAGACATAAAGTACTGCTTCTCACTTTTTTTAAAAAAAACCTTTGAGATAGGGTTTCTGTGTAGCCTTAGCTGTCCCGGAGCTCATTCTGTAGACCAGGCTGGCCTCGAACTCAGAGATCCACCTGCCTCTGCCTCCCAAGCACTGGGCTTAAAGCGTGGGCCACCACTGCTCGGCTCCAAAGAGGAGCTTTAATGATACACAGAAAAAACTTGTTTCCAAACTACAAAAAAGAAAACCAAAAGCTCCTCTTTGGTTTGCTTCCTTCTCTCCAGTAAGACTTCCAGATTTGCCTGTAATCTCGGCACTCAAGAGGCTGAGGCAGGACTGGGAGTTAAGAGGCTGGCAAGATGCTGCTTCAACATGGTGCTATCAATGATTAACTTGAACACTCACCTTTCAGGCTTTGTGTTCCAGCCAATGGGAAGGTTGAGACAAGATGATGGAGAGTTCAGGACCAGTCTAAGTCATATAGCAAGACTCTGACACAAGATAAAATATTTGCTTTGGAGGCAGAAGGATCAACTGTTTGAGGCCAGCATGTGCTTTGTGTTGAGGCCTTGTTTCAGACAACCAAAACCCTCATCTATTAATAAAAAAATAAATAGGTTAACAATAGTAATAAATTCCAGCCTGATGTGATGACTTCTACTTTTAATTCCAGCACTCAGGAAGTAGACAGGCACATCTCTGAGTTCGAGGCCAACCTGGTCTACAAAACGATCGCCACACCGGCAGAGGCTGCATAGTGAGACCCTGTTTAAAGACACACATACTCCAATTCTACCTTCAGTGGACAGATTTCCCCTACAGAAGGGATTCAGTAAACAGAAGCCTGTCTTCATGGAATGTCGTGCAGATTATATTCTCTTTGTATTCCTTATGTATAGGATAAATGAGTTAATAATATAGCAAGCACTTGAAACAGTGCCAGGATTATTACAAATGTACAGTACAGTACATGTCAGCTGTTATTCTAGTAATCTTGTTGCAGGCTCTAAGGTTAGACACAAGAAAGGCCCAGAAATTCTTAAGAGGCATTTACCTGAAGGCACTCAGGGACTCTCAGGCCGTTACGGATCTGGCACTTACACCTGGACGGCCCAACACTGAGTGAAGTGCGTCTCACTTGGTAACTGAGGGAAAGGAGCCACTGAAATAGGATTCTTTGACTTGCCAGCTGCCCGTGGTGTCCCTGAACCGAGGACACACTCTAGGTGCCCTAAGCACGAGCAGAGGCGTTGGGTTGAGCGCGCGGAGGCCGGTGGGGGCGTGGCGAACGCAGGTCTCGCCCACCGCGACGTGCTGCGGCCCCGCAGCCAATCCGGAAGCGCACGTCGGGTTCAAATAGAGACGGCGGGTGAATGTGGTCAAGTCGACTTGATCAGAAGAGTGGTCAAATTGGACATGTGGAGGCTTAAAACACTGAATCTCGGCTTGTCGCCTTCACCCCAACCGGTGAGGAGAGAACTCCCGCGGTCAGGGCGGGGCGCCGGCGGGGCCGAGGCCGGTGAAGCCCGGGTCCCACCGGAGCCGGGCGGCGGGAGGCTTTGTGGGCCCCGTGGCCTGGCGGTTGCAGGGAAACACTTCCCGGGGGAGAAGGGGCGGGCATGGCTGAGCCAGGTTTCCTCTCACCCGCTTTCTCTCTCAGGGAAAACCAGCTATGAGAACTCCTCTCCGAGAGCTTAAACTGCAGCCCGGAGCCCTCACCGATTCAGGGAAAGGACCGCCGATGTTCTCCTCGCTGACCCCATACCTGCGCAAGCTGGAGCTGAAGGTGAGATTCGCCTAGGCAGCTTCTCAACTGGGCTGTTTGCCCAGCCGAGTGCTCAGAGGAACAGAGGGCCAGGGCTGGAACATAATTAATAACGATAATGAAGCCTTCTACTTCTGTGACATCCATTTACAGCTATTCAGGCCAACAGAGAGATGCCCTGGGGTGGTTAAAACGAATCCACTGAGAACCTGCACCTCTATTTAGCGATTTTTTTATTACCTCTTTTCTCCTTTGACCTTTACCAAATTCCTGAGAAATACTTAACTCTGTCACATTGATGTAGAAGTCTGATACAAGAGTGAGACAGTATCCTATGAAGTAGTCAGAATTTTCCTGCATCCAATGCTTTCAAGTATTACCTTGCAGAATTGCCTTTCCCGAGCTGTACTTTAGTCAAAAGTCTCTATTATTATATTATTATTACTACTACTATAATAATAATAACAATAATAATTATTATTATTTGGTTTTATGAGACAGGGTTTCTCTGTATTGTTTTGGAGGCTATCGGACCAGCCCGGCCTCGAACTCGCAGAGATCCGCCTGCCTCTGCCTCCCGAGTGCTGGAATTAAAGGCGTGCGCCACCACCGCCAGGCTACTATAATTATTATTTTGTTTTTTGTTTTTTTTTTCAGTTTGTATCCAAGTTTTATTCAGAACCTTTGTGATTATTGAGAGCTTAAAAATTAGAAGAAGAGCTGAGGAAAGATGTGTTGCTTTGATGTCACCACCTCTCTCCTTCTTTGTCTGTCTGTCTGTCTTTCTTTCTTTCTTTCTTTTGGGGGGTTGAAATAAGGTTTCTTTTTAACAGCCCCAGCTACCCTAGAACTAGCTCTTGTAGACCAGACTGGCCTCGAACTCACAGAGATCCTCCTGCCTCTCCCTCCCAAATTCTGGGATTCAATGCCTTATTTTGGTTTTTTTTGTTTGTTTGTTTGTTTTTTTTTTTGTTTTTGAGACAGGGTTTCTTTGTGTAAAGTCCTGAAACTCAGAGATCTGCCTGCCTCTGCCTCCCAAGTGCTAGGATAAAAGGTGTCTGCCACCACTGCCTGGCTTCTTTTCTGTTTTTAAACTTAGTTTTTAAAGGCATTTTAGACTTTTTTATTACTTGTCAAAGGACTTAAGAGAAGGAGATATGTACAAACTGTTTTTATAAGAACTTGTTGAGGAAGAAGATTGACTCCTAGGGTTCTTCACAGACATTTTGGAGAACTTACTTGCCTGGGGAAATTGTTCTGAAGAATTGCTGTCCTTTCATCTTCCTGTTACTGAGAACCATTCTTTTGAAATATGAAAGTTTGCTCCCTCCCACCATGACTTTGTTATTTTGTTTCATGGTGCTGGGTATTAAACCTAGGCCCTTGTGCTTGCTTGGCAAATACTCTACTACTGAACTATGTACCTCCAACCCTAGTTCATTAACTTTATCTGTTCTGTCTATAGTAACTCTAGATTCTGATAACACTTGAAGCATACTACATCCCTTATTTGGTCCCTCCTACCACACATTTTAGATGTAGGTTGGAATTAGAAAAAGACATGGCAAGGTCATATTTGAGCTAAAGTCTCCCACTGACATGAACAGATATGCTCTGTTTGTTTATACTCTCTGCTGGATCTCCATTTATGTGTGTGATACATATGGGTCCAAAGTGGCTTCCTTGTTTTCTTTCCCTACTGGTAGTTCCAGGTAGTAGTCAGCCAGGATTGGCTAGCTTCTTATCTGGGAAGAGACAATGAGGGCTCTTTGCTTTTTCTGAGTTTGGATATTGTGATGTACCCACAGTTACGTGTGAGGACTGAACTGACTGCCTTAGCCAACTAGTTTTGTTTCTTTTGGCAGGAAAGGAGCAACAACTCATCTCCAGTGGATTTTATCAGCACTGAGAACAGCTTCCTTTCAGAACAGTTCAGCCCTTCAACAAAATACATAGAAGCTTGTCAGCATGAATCTGAACCAACTCCTGAAAGCAGCTCTCCTCTCAGTACAGCAGAGAAAGCAGTAGAAACAATGGATGATTTTGTATCAGATCAGGTGGATGAAAGTCTCGTTAACTCCATGGTTCTTTTACCCTTTCCACTAGGGCAGCAGCAAGACCTGACGCTTGAGGCTCACTTAGATGCCATGGCAGAGATAAACAGCAGCTCTCTAAATGAGTCCTTGAGGTTAGAAGATCTGGTGGAAAAGGAGGTGGCACCTTGTGTGGAAGACAGCTTTACAGAAGTTGTTGCTGTTAGGCCTGAGCAACCTGCATTTCAGGATCCTCCATCTCATCTCTTGGACTGTCTACCCAAACCCTGTTCTGAACAATTTCACTGCTCCAAAGAAAACCTGAGAGGCATTAACACTGAAGCTGCATCTGAGAACTTAGTACCTTCTGAAAATGTCTTGAATTTCTCTGTGGCCTGCCTTTCTCCCTCAACTGTTGATCATGTAGATCCAGGGAAGGAAACTGTAGAATACAGAGTTACACAGGGAAGTGAAAAAAGCTTTCCCACATGCCCTGAGGAGGTTGAATTGGGAGACCAAGCACTTGCTGCAAAGTCAGAAGATGCTGCATCGATGTATCTGACGCCAAGTCTAGTAGAAATGGGACCCCTGGAAGCTCTAGGCCCAACTACAGAAGATGCTAGTAGGATTCCTGGCTTAGATGCAGAGACTTGGATGTCCCCATTGGCCTGGCTGGAAAAAAGTGTGAACACGTCAGTCATGCTACAAAATCTCCGCCAGAGGTTATCCTTTCCCTCTGTGCTTCAGGATGCTGCCGCTGGCAACACACCCCTCTCCACTTGTTCTGTGGGAACTTCTTTTACTCCTCCAGTGCCACCAGAAGTCGGCACCAAGCACAGTACCTCAGAGACGGAGCGCCACCTCTTAGGGTAAGTATACCACCCAAGCCTGCGCCTCTGGAGGGCCAACACTCTAGACCTGCCACTCGCATCTCTGTCCTTCTCTTTCCTGTGGCAGCTGCGGTCCTCTGGATCTGACTGCTTTGTCCCGACACGACTTGGAAGAGAACCTGTTGAACTCCCTTGTTGTGCTGGAAGTTCTTTCCCACCAGCTACAAGCCTGGAAGAAGCAGCTCATCGTCCCTTCCCGGGAATCTCAAGACAGTAGCACACAGACTGACTGCTCTCCTTGTGGGGTAAGAAGCTTCTTCATAGAGCTTGGAGGATCCCAGTGGACCCTCTGCCTTAGACATTAGCTGAGAAGCTACCAGACGGAAAGGAGGCTGCCTTAACCACAGGCTCAGTCTTCGAATATGTGTAAAAACTGAGAACATGAGCCACGTGTGGTGGTACACGTATGCAATCCAGGTCTTGGGAGGCTAAGGCAAGATGACCTAAATTAAAATTCAAGGCCAGCCGGGTGTTGGTGGCACATGCCTTTAATCCCAGCACTTGGGAGGCAGAGGGAGGCGGATCTCTGTGAGTTCCAGGACAGCCTCCAAAGCAATACAGAGAAACCCTATCTTGAAAAAAAAACAAACAAACCAAATAAATAAATAAATAAATAAATGAAATTCAAGGCCAGCCTGGGCTATAGAGTTTGGGGCTAGCCTATCTTTTTTTTTTTTTAAAGCTGAAGGCTGGGAGGTGGTAACACATGTCTTTTAACCCCAGCACTTGGGAGGCAGAGGCAGGTGGATTTCTGAGACTTTTTCGACTAGCCTGATCTGTTTAATTAGTTCCAGGCCAGGCTGGATTTGAGGGTGAGACACTCTCAGAAATTGAGAGATGACTGGGCATGGTGGCACACACCTTTAATCTTAATCCCAGCACTCAGGAGGCAGAAGCAGGCGGATCTCTAAGATGAGGCTGGTCTGCAGAGAGAGAGTTCCAGGATAGTCAAGGCTGTTACACAGAAGTTGTATATTGAAAAACCACAAGAAAAAAGAAAAAAGTTGAGAGAAGGGGGCTGGAGAGATGGCGTCGAGGTTAAGAGTCAGCACTGCTCTTGCAAAGGACCTCAGTTGAGTGGCCAGCAGTGACACTGGGTACCTCACAACTGCCTAGCAGTCCAGTCCCAGGGCCTCTTTGAGGCACCTACCCATACATATACACAGGAATAAAAATAATAAAAGTAAATCCGGAATATAATCCAGAAAAGGACTGTTGAGATGGCTCAGTGGGTAAAGGTGCAACCAAGCCTGATGACCTGAGTTTGATCCCTAGGATCCACGTGGTACAAAGAACCAACTACTACAAGTTGTCCTCTGACCTGCACACGTGTAGTTACTCACACACATAAATAAAGGCATTGAAAAAAATTTAGCCAAAAAAAAAGCCCAACAACAAAAAACCTACATAGGTATGAGAGGAAATTATTTCTTTTAAGATTTTTTCCCCTTAAGGTTTACTTTTCATGTGCAGGTGCTCTTGGAGGCTAGAGGTGTCAGATCCCCTGGAACAGGAGTTACACGTGGTTGCGGGCCGTCCGATGTGGGTGCTGGGAATCAAACTTGAGTGAGAGGAAAGTAATTTAAAGACCTCTGCCCTAGCAGGACATGACTGTGTGTACTTGTAGTCCCAGCACTTGGGAAGTG